TACCCCTGCAAACTTTGTGCTACACACGGGTTTCCACTGTAGGCATTTAGGGGGTGTGTTGAAATGTATTTGTATACTTTCATATAAATGCCTACAGTAGCCTAGTGTAGTTATCTTAGTTTCCTGCTAGGTGGTGTACCATTTGCCTTTCTTCATTCTTGCCTATTTGTACTGCTCGCTCTATAGTGAACAACCTCTTTTTGGCTTGCATTCTTCTCCTCGTCACTCTCGCCTAGGCCAAACCCTTGGCCCCTAAACTTTACTCTCGACATACGAGACATCTAAGCTTAAAAATTTACGCTTCGTTGCGGATGCGCCGGTAGCAAAGCATGCTTGGAGTAGGTCCTTGGTTGACCGGGGCGTATGTCTCATCATGTATTCCTCATGAATGTCTGCATCTACGCACGATCCAACGTGCTTTGAATCGATTTTGCTGGTCGTGCTGATCTCGTTTCACCCTGAAATCAATCCATTCCGTCAACACCGGGACTCCTTTTGGGATGTCTGCCCTGTCCACTACTTCAAGGCTCCCAACTTGTCGAATATGGCAACCTCTGCATCGTTTCCTGCTTGCCGAAGAGGTACATATGGGTCTTTATCCATCTTGTATTTTGCTCCTTGTATGTCAGGTCGACCATGGGCACGCCGGCCGCTTCACATCTCAATACATGCTGCTGTAAATTGGGAATATTGTTGACTCCTTTTTAGGTGTCTTGGTCAATTCGTTTGGCTTGTACTGCTTGCCGGTTCCCAAGCAACACATCCAGCCCTGTCATGCTGTTCACACCTTGTGCTTCTCCTCCCAGCACATTCATAATGGGGTTGGAGTGAACATGTCGTCGGGTTGCATTCTGGCCAGCCAGCGGGATCCCACGCTTTTACGTCAGTGTAACCATTTGTCGTAGTGAGGTTTTTTCTGAAGGGAGTACAAGGCAACTTGAGTGCCCCACCACCGCCCCTCCTCCCCCTCCCTCCCCCCTTCCTCCTCGCGCACATCACCCGGGCTCACGGAGGCGGGATTTTTGAAATTACCGCTAGTGAAGTACGTGCCTTGCCAGCTATGATATTTGAGATTGGTCGGTTTTATAGGTCCAGTCTTGCCACCCCGTGAAACCTATTATTCCTATTGTCTTCGCCTGTCAACACACACACTAAGGAACGTAAACCAGGCAGGGTGCGGACTATTGGCGCCTATTAGCCCACTGTACACCGCATCTGTACCTTGGTAGCTCGCATATCTGACGATGATCGCTGTAACGAAAAAAACAACAACAACAAAACGTGAGCACTCGTTAATATAGTAGCAATCCCAAATACATCAGATTAACGAATTAATTACAATTCTGACCTTTTTTCGGAAAGAGACATTACCCTAACGTTTAAGCAAATCACCCTGAGGCACACTGGTAATAAAGGGTTCCCAAAGGTTAACAATGCCAATAAGAATGTCAGATCAGAAAAATCCTACTAATAACAATAATCATCATCATTCAAGCAAAAGTACCACTAATAGAACCTACGTTGATAATTAGCGTATCAGGGAAATTTATATTGATGAATTCGCATGCTTGTCTCACTTCCTATTTGATTGTCTTCTTCGATACATTTTTAGATAGAGTCATATTCGGCATATATTTAATAAGCTGCTGCCCTTCCTCCTGCATCATCTGCATGTGAGTATCATTATGTTCAGTAGGTTGTCTCGACTTCTATTCCCAACAACGATGAACTGTTGGTTGATGAAGATGCGGATGAAGAAAAATCAATCGAATTCGGACCTGGATCCATCTCCCCGTAAAGTTCACCGAGCAATGTGGGGGTGAGACTTCATCGTCGTAGCGTTCGTTTTCGACCAGAGACTCAGTATCCGACAGCATGACACCATCAAAGACAAGAGCTGAACAAGTGCCCGCGTCAACGTCACTTGCGAAATCCTGCACGATCCATGCATTTTCAGCGTTGAAGAAGCTAAGGAGCATTCCAATTTTGTTCTCAGACTTTCAGAAAATGCCTTGCAGAGAAGATAGTGACAGTGACAATAAAAGGTTTGTTCTGTTGATACATCAGCAGAATCCCCGTCGTTTATCTCACCACCCTTACCCAACCAGGGCATTAATATCTATCCAATTGTATGCGAAAGCTCGTGAGCTCAACGCATGAGGCGTTGTGTCATATCAAGTTTGATTTACCGTATATATGCTTTCACACACCTATTGGAGGCTTGCGCATATGTCAGGGTCATGCTGTATACAAATATCCAGAGTTGTAATGCACATGTAAAGCAGTATGTAATGTATAATGTATAAGATTCGGCATTGTAAGGTAGAAAGGTGTTATTAAGCATAGAAGTGATGTGTGAGAAGACTGTTGGTTGACAGTGACGGTGATTTTCGTGGGACGGATATTCTCAGTTCGTACAGTGTAACATCAAATCCTCTCTTTCTATTGGCCCCAAACCCGAGATGCATCTAAAGATTCTGGTCGATCTTCTGAGGGATCTGTTTCTTCCAACCCGCCAAATTTCAGATCGTTGATAATATTGCGCGTGCAGAGTGCAGCACGCTGTAGAAACTTGGCTGCTTCTGTAGTTTGGGCTGACCTATCGCCACACCGCTTCGGGGCACAAAAACAATATACTGGTGGATGGTTATGGTAACACCCTAAACCACCCACGAAGTCCCGTTGAATAAATTTATCCGTGGGTGTGTGGTTCTACCACAGTGAGCGTGCAGGTCTTCGGGAGTCTGAACCAGGCAATGCCAGTCTCGGCAAAAACCTCACAAACTACAGCACGGAGCCCGGTATTTTTCCTTCTGTACTTCCTCAACCTTCTCTTCGGAAGTGGTTGGTGGCTGTGATCGGATAACGTGATTCTGCTAGATCCGATCACAGTCAGCACGTCGCGCTACCGCCTGGCCAACGCAGGCCGTTCTACTGTAGAAAGTAGTTCTTTGTCATCCAGCCACCGACTAGATGGGGTCGAAGGGAGGTGGGAAAGGGCGTGAAGCGATTCCCCCTAGACTTCGGTCCTTTTCGTTGTGGTGTGGCGATAACAGAAGCAGCCCCTGGGTGTAGTCCTTGTTTACTCCATGAATATGACTGTTTGTCAACGAAGGTCTCATAGTCCAGATTCGATCATATTGGCACATTGAAATGCTCGATTATATGCTTTGAGCCAGTGTCCCTTTATTAAGTGACGCAACTGTGGACTACAGTACGTTGGGAGTCATCTAGAAATCCCAGAATCAGCTTGTCAATGTGGATGAACGGTCTCCCCTTCCCTGACCGATGAAAAATCTGTTCAAGCTGACGGGTATGCCGGTGGCAGTCCGCATATCATGTCGGATCCTGTCATGCAGTGTTCATAGTGTCTCCCTGGCTCTGCCCGCCACAGTGAAGAATCTACAGCTGGTTATCGGGGGCGCATACGCATTAACCCCGACTCGTCCCTTAAGGGTCATGTTTAAAGGGTCACTGTATCCGAGGTCGCGTTTCTCGTAGCCCCTGCCAGATCATGAAAATTGTCACAGAATGTCCGATACCCTTCGTTTAGAACCAAGGAAACATACGTCCTTAGAGCGTTTGCTGTGCGCAGTCTGTTCTTTCAGAATACCACCTTCGCCTCCATTTTGTGCAATGCGTTATCGCATATTTCAAAATAGTTATCTGTGCGTTCGTTTTCTCGAAGTCATGCAGAAACATCATGCACGAGACGAGAGTCCGCCAAATTATTGCCCTGCTTTTGCAATGGAAGCTGTCATCTGACTCTTGTCGTTGACTTGTCGTTGCTAGTCCAGCCTAAAGATTACCTACTGTTGGCGGTGGTTTTCCTGACCTGATTCACCTCACCAGCAGCAGCACTCTCACAAACGATGACTGAATCAACACTGGGCTGGCAGATGAGTGAAGTAGTTACCACTGTAGACTTGATGGAGCGTGCGATGCCAGCACATTTTTTCTGGCAGTGCTAGCGAGATTAGCAAGGGTTTCAAGATAGTGGGTGCTACTTTGTTGTTGCAGTACATCATGTTCTGGCACTTGAGTTTAGGGATAGACTGTCGTCGGTCCTTGTAGTATTAGGATTTCGTAGGTCGTGTTACTACAATGCCTCATCGCTCGCGAGTTCCGGATTCCGCGGCGGCCGTTTCACTTGCGCATGGAGATGCGCTGACGTCGCTTCTCGATCTGACGGCTGCCGTCGTCATTGCCGCCAGAGGCGCTAAGATTCTCTCTGCTAGGTATTTGCTGCGAAATACTACATAGGTCTCATCATTAAGTGATAATTTTCGCTGTCGTCGGCTAACCTCGGCACAGGATGGTTCTACATCCTTTCATAAGGGAGTTGCCGATTGCATGAAAATATCATGATGCGTACATGAGTATTATTCAAATAGTTGCTCTAAGTAAGCTGAATACGACATTCCACTGCCACAAAGTGCTTGAGAAAGATTGTGTTTTCGTAGATTAAAAAAGTGATATCACGAGGAATTTCATGCAGTGGTTATTGTTTTCTAACCAGGCATGCTTATTTCACGCTTGGTTCGTTCAGCGTATCACATATGCCTATATTTTCGGTCTATTCCTCTTCAATGTCTCTAAACCAGGCATATTCTTGACAGTATAATACGGTATCACACACCCGCTTGTCTTCTGTATCTTCAATCAATCCCGGCCTGTTCTCGGTCCTATTATGGTTATTAAGGTCCTGGTGCGAAGTGCGGGGATGGAAGGCGTTGTAGTACTAATGGCTTCCAGTGAATCGTATTGGCTTGTAGTTTTGTTGATGGTTATGGCTTCCAGTGGTCATCCCCGGCTCTAACATTGTCAGTTATTTTTTGCTGCGGCAGAAGAAACCAAGGTCTCTAAAGAACAGATCCATTTTGGAGCTCCGCTGCCTTCTCTCCCCACCAGCTCGCTCCTCCGTAATCCCCGTGATTCCATCAGCATGGGTGCGTGTGAGCTGCTGCAGCAGGAGCCAAGGTCTCCAGAGAATCCGATCCATGTTGGAACTGTCCTGCTGTCACTTCAACCACTTCCCGCTCCCCAACTCTCGCCACCCCCCCCGCTCCCTCATTTTACTCCCTCTTTTCCATCAGCATGGGTGCGTGCGAGCTGCTGCAGCAGGAGCCGGGGTCCCTAGAGAACCGATCGATCTTGATGTTCAGATGCCTTCTCTCCCCATCCCTCCTTCCCCCTTACTAATCTCCCTTGTCTTTAACAGCATGGGAGCGTGCGAGCTGCTGCAGCAGGAGCCGGGGTCACTAGAGAACCGATCCATGCTGGAGCTACTCCATTTGAACGACCAGCCGCTCTTCATGGTACTTCCACCCACCTGGTCATGTGTGTGGATGGTTGGGTGTGTGTGTGCGCGCACACACATTTGTGTTCGCGTGTGTGTGTGTGTGTGTTTTGCCATTCTGGAGCTACTCCTTCTGAATGACCAGCCGCTCTTCATGGTACTCCCACCGACCTTGCCTTGCCGATCCGTAAAAGCTCCGTGCAAACTGTGTGCACGAGTCACCTCTTTACTCTCTTTGCTCCATGCTGACCCTAATCCATCTGAACGACCAGCCGTTCTTCATGGTACTCCCACCCGCGCTTATCGTTCTTCTTGTCTTTCCTTCTTTCCTCTTCTTCTTTTTGTCACCCCACGCCACGTGCATCCACATGCATTCGTGGAAATCTGCATGGATTTTTTTGTTGCACATTTGTCCTTCCCTCTTCTCTCCCCGTTCGTCCCTTGTACTCCCTTACTGCCCGAGAGCCTCAAGATTCACTCCCTTACTTAACTCCTCGTTTTTCTCCACCGGATTTTAACAGGACACGCTGGTTAAGTGCGCGCGCTTAGCTCCCTCCAGCAGCACGGCTCCGTCGGTCCGCCCGTGCAGTGCACACGCCGCCACAGGAACCAGCCAGCCGAACTATAGGCAGCAGTCTCCTGGGAATACACCGCCATGGGTTACAGTACCCGCTACAACCCCTGCCACAACTCCTGCGACAACTCCTGGAGTAACCCCCTTTCACCCGCCGCACCAGGAGTCGCACGGTTGTTTTTCAGGCGCTTCTTCTTCGCACGCTGCCCGGCGCGAGTTTTCTACGGCTGGGGCTGCTGTTTCGGGCAGCGGCGGAAGGTTTTTCCGCGGGCAGCACCAGCTGCACGTGCGGCTGAGGGTGGATGAGGAAGCAGAAGGGGAGGACCCTCAGACTGAGCAGCAGTTTGTGTGGGTGCGCGCGCGGATGCTGCCTGTGGTGGCAAGGAGGCAAGGCGTAGGAGAAGCGAGGAGAGATGCACGGGGAAGGGAGTCAGAAGGAAGTGATGCAGCGTTTGTGAGAGGGCAGGCTGGGGCAGCGGGTATTGGAGCAGGAGAAGGAGCTGGCGGGCCAGGAGCAACAACAGCAGCAGGCGGCAGGGGAAGGTTGTCAGTGGTGTGTGTTTTCGAGGAGCTGGAGGTGGTTCCAGCTACTGTGACTGCGCCCGTAGTGGCGCCTGTTGCAGCCGAGCCAGCATTTTTCTTAGACCCTGCCGCTGCTTCTGCTGTTGCTACTGCTGCCGCCGCCACTTCTGCCGCTGCTTTCGTTGCCGCCGGTACCACTTTTGCCGCCGTTGCTACCTCCGGTGCTGCCGCCACTGCTGCTGCTGCTGCTGTTGCTGCCGCCGCTGCTGGCGATACAACTGCTTCCAAATCTTTTTCACCTGTCCCTTTCCCAGACGCTGCTATGCCAGGTGCTCCTCCTACTCTTACACTGTCGGAAGCAGTCGGCACGCATACACCAACCCTGAGCCCTTTCCCACAGATCTCCAGCTTTGAGCACATGCAACGCGCAGCAGGAAAATCTGCTGATAGAGCAGCAGCAGCCGGCGCATCCGCCGCAGATCCCCCCGCTTCTACCGCCGCCGCCGCCGCCGCAGCAACAACAGCAGCAACAGCAGTTGCATCACCCACAGTTGCTGCCGCCGCCGCAGTACCACCAGCAGCAGCAGGACCATCAGGGGCCAGGCTCCCGACAGCAGCTCCTTCTGTTACGTTAACTCCAGCACACCCCAGCTCCTCTCCTCTCGTCCCCCCAGCGACGGCTGTAGCAGCTGCAGCGGCTGTAGCGGCGGCAGCCGCAGCCGCTACAGCCACCCGCAAGCCCCAGCCCGCGCCTGTGACTATAGAGAAGAGGAAAGGACCCATGACCTTGCCTACTCTCCCCCGGTGGCGCTCTAACGAGGATCTTATAGAGGAGGGAGATCCGTTAGAAGACAGGCAGTTACTGGATCAGCTTCCAACGAGGATAGAGGAGATTAAAGCGCGTTTGGAGAGTGGAGAGGGTTTGGAGGAAGAGGCGCCTAGAGTTGGAGCAGGGGAGAGGAGGCGGCAAGGGGATTTGGGGAAGTGGCAGGGAGGGAGAGGAGGTAGAGGGAGCCGCGGGCAAGGATGGGGTGAAGGGGCGAGTGTTGAGGCGAAGGGTGGGCAGTTGTTGGGGCAGGAGAAGGGGCGAAGCAGTGATAGGGAGAAGGAGAGGAAAGAGGGGAGCACGGGAGACAGGGAGAAGGGAGAGGGAGACCGGCAGGAGCAGCAGAGCATGAGTGGTGGGTGTAACAGCGCTGCTGCTGCGGAGGAAATTGGCAGTGGGGCAGGTCAAATTGGTGGTGTGAACAATGAAAGCAGTGAGAGGGAGGCGTTATCTGGGGAAGGTGGGCTGGTAACCTATGGGTTGCACCTGAGGAGGGCACTGGAAGGGGAAGGGGAAGCAGAAGGGGATGTGACTGTAGCGGATGAGATAATGGAGGGGGGATTGGGAGACTTGGGAGGGAGGGGGAGGAGCCTTGGAGCTGGTAGCAGCAGCACGGACCTTCCTTCTGTTGCTGTTGCTGACGCTAGTGCTGCCACAGCCACTGCTGCTGCTGGTGTTGTTGGTGGTGGTGCTGCTGCTGGTGATGATGGTGCTGTTGGTGCCACTGCTGCTGCTGTAGAGGCGGCTGAAAGAGAAGGAGTATTTGAGAGGATTCATGCACCACCACAGGCACTGGCAGGGCCATTCCCAGAGGCAGCAACGGAAGGGAGAGGTAAACAGAAGCAGGTGGGAGGGCAACGGATAAGAGTTCTACTGGGGGATGATTGTGGTGATGTTGGGGATGGTGGTGATGGTGGTGAGGCTGCAGGTGGTGATGGTGGTGATGCTGCAGGTGGTAATGTTTCTGCTGCACGAGTGATGCGTGAGGTGAAGGAGGAGGCAGGAGCTGAATCGAGCATCAAGGCTGGAGGAATGGGAGCAGCTGCAGCTTCCTCTGCTGCTGCGGGTTCACACGCTAAGTCCGCTGCTGCTGCTTCTGCTGCCGCTGCTGGTGCTGCTACTTGTTCTGCGTCTGGATCTGCCTCTGCGGCTTGTTTCAGGGCAGATGCGGGAGTGGGGGAGGTGGCGGTGACGAGTGGAGGTGGGGAAGAAGGTCTTTGGACGGATTTCCTCAAGAAAGGGCTGACCCGGCTGTTGGAAGCCCAGAACGCCCCCAGTGATGATGATGATGATGATTATGACCGTGATGCGGAGCAGAAAGAGGAGGAGGGCGGAAAGGATGAGGAGACGGGGGAGAGAGGGGAGATGGTTGCGAGGAAAGGAGGGAGGGGAGAGAGAGCAGGGGGCGTGTTGGATCTGCCGAGTATAGGCAAGGGGAGGGAGAGCGGGGAGGAGGGAGTGGAGGGGGAGGGGGGAGCTGCTGGAAAGGCGAGTGAGGAGGAGGAGGTAGAGGAGATTGTGAGGGTCAAACCGGGTCGGATGGGGATGGGAATGGGGATGGGGATGGGGATGGGGATTGGGGGGGTGGATGAAGCCGCAGCAGGGAGAGGGGCAGATGGACAAGGAGCGGATTTTCTCCCACCAGGGGTGCAAGCTGCTGTTGCTGCTGCTGCTGCAGCAGGGGGAGGGGGATCGGATTCGGATAGCCTAAGCAAGTTCTTTTCCGCCTTGGTAAGTCGTTCTCTCCCTCTCTCCAGCGTGCTTCTGAAAAAAAAAAAAAAAAAAAAACACACACACGCACACACACACACACACACACACACACACACACACACACACACACACACACATTTTTTCCGCCTCAGTAATTCGTCCCGCTTTCCCTCTCTCCAGCTGTGCTCCTCCGAACATTCCGCCTTGCCGCTTTCGTCCTGATTTCAAGTGTAGTTTCGCTTCTTCCCCACCTTCCCCCCCCCCCTCCCCCCCTCTTCGATCCCACCCTCCATCTCACCCTCCCTCTCTCCTTCCCTCCTCCCTCCCTCTCCCCCACCCTCTTCTCCCTCCCCCCTCCTCCCCACCTCTTCCTTCCCTTCCTCCTCCCCCCACGCAGAACCCCATATTCGTTTGTAAGAACCTCACAATAGTCTACTGTTTTTGAGTCGACTAAGAATGCCGCCTCTCCTTTCCCTCCCTCCTACCCCCACGCAGGACCCCATATTCGTTTGTAAGAACCTCACTAGAGTCGACTGTAAAGCCAGTGCCGCCCAGATAATCCTCCAACCGTTTGCTTTTCCCTCTTCCCTCTCCTCCCTCCCCCCCCACCCCACCCACGCAGGACCCCATATTCGTTTGTAAGAACCTCACTATAGTCGACTGCAACGACAGCGCCGCCCGGATCCTCCGGGTGGCCCAGAACGAGCGCAACACCCGTATCTTCGGCCAATCACCCGTCGTCTTCTCGCCCCCAGTGCAACCCGAGGGGATTCTTTCGGCAGTAGCAAGCGAGCAGCGCTGGTTAGACATCGCCACGAGCAACGGCCGCCCGTTCCGGTTCCCCTGGGTGCACATGTCAATCGACGGTCAGATGTTTCTCGTGGAGGTGATGGCGATGGTGCTAGTGGACGGCCCAGATACGTTCCACATCACCACGTGGAAGCAGTACCTCAACTCCTCGTCTCTTACCCGCGAGCTGAGGCTCGCCGCCCGTGCGAAACGGGCGGCTGAGAGGTCGCGGGTTCAATTCCTGGCGAACATGAGTCATGAGCTGAGGACGCCGATTAACGGCGTGCTGGGGTATGCACAGCTGATGATGCAGACCCAATTGGATCCAGAGCAACAGTCTTATCTGCAGAGTATATACGAGTCGGGCGAGGTGCTTCTTGGAACCGTCTCTCAGGTAAGCGTTTCTTTTAGTGCTGCCAATTCTACTAGCGATTTGTAATGTGGTTTGACCTATCTGCCTCTCCAGATCCCGTCACGACCCCATAACACACCTGTTCGTTCCTTCTTGGATTTTCCTGCCCTACCGCTCTGCACTGCACCCTGTCGTTTTTGACACGTCATCCATTCCCTGACCATTAACGCCCCTCTTCACCCATCTGAACCTCGACAGGTGTTGGAGATGAGTCAGCTGCAGAAGCGGGAGGTGGTGCCAAGACGGGTACGCTTCAATCTGCACAGGGCTATTGGGGAGGCGGCTGGCAGCATGCGCCCTCTGGCTCACAGGAAAGGGCTGCAGGTGGGTGATGATGGGTGCTGTTCAGTGCTGGTGGGTGCAGGGTGTTTTTGGTGGGTATTGGTGTGTGTAGCATGGTGGTGGGTTAGCAACTTGGGGCTGCCTCGTTGCTGGCAGAATGCGGTCTCTTGCGCACGGGAATCCCATTGCCCTTCTCTCTCGTTCCCTGACATCCCTCCCCGTTCTCACCCCTTTGCAGTTCGGGATCAGCATGGACAGGGCAGTGCCGCACGCAGTCCTGGGTGACCCATCCATGCTGCGGCAGCTGCTGCTGCACCTTCTCTCCAACGCCCTCAAGTTCACCCACCAAGGCACCGTGCAGCTCACCGTTCGCGTGCTGGCCCCTCCTGGCGCTGGTGCTGGTGCTGCTGGTACTGCTGGTTCTGGTGGGGGAGTGGGGGCGGGAGGGAAGCAGAGGGGTGTGGGTCGAAGGGTGTCGCAGGTTATGGGCAAGGCAGGGGAAGGTCTGCAAGGGGGTTTAGTGGGGAGAGAGCAGCACGAGCAGGAGCGTCAACAGGAGCAGCAGCAGCAGGCGGAGCAGGTGGAGCAGGTGGAGCAGGAGGAGGGGGAGGCCTGTTCTGCTGCTAACGCTCAGGGTGTGTGGGGGAGGAGTGACGGGGGAGCAAGTGGGAGGGAGTGTGGGGCTGTTGAAGCAGGTCGAATAATGACTGTTTCAGAAGCCCAGTTGCTGCCGCAGGCTGCTGAGAGGGAGCGGAAGGAGAGGGAGAGGCAAGCGATGGAGCGGGAAGAGAGGGAGAGGGAGGAGAGGGAGAGGGCGGAAAGGGAGGGGAAAGCAGGGGAGGGGGAAGAAAACGAGGGGGAAGAGAGAGAGAAAGACGGACCAGGGACAGAGTTTAGGGCATCAAAGCAGATCACAAGGCTTTCTTTTGAGGTGGTGGATACAGGAGTGGGAGTGCCGCCCGACATGCTGCATCAAATCTTCAAGCCCTTTGTGCAAGTGGACAACTCCGCCGCCCGGGAGTATCAGGGCCTCGGGCTGGGATTGGCTATTGCGCAATCGCTTGTGCGGCTTCTGGGTGGCGAGGGGATTCATATTGAGAGCGAGCCGGATAAGGGGTCATGTTTCGCGTTTACCCTTCCTTTTGAGGTGTGGAAGGGGGAGAGGAAGGGGGGGAGGGAGAAGAGGAGGGGAAGGGAGGGTGAAAGTGTGGGTGGGGATGGGGATGGGGGTGGGAAAGTGGATGGAGGGGAGAAAGGGGAGGTGGAGGGAGATGGAGGATCGAGGAGAGAGGTTCTTGAAGGGGGGTTCGGGGATAATGGCCGAGGGAGGGGCAAGCGAGCAAGGATAGTTGAGGAGAGATTAGATGCGGTGAGGATGGGTGGGGAGAGGTTCCAGTCGTTTGAGGCTGATACGGGGGAGTTTGGTGGGTTACTAGCAGAGGGGAGTGAGCGTGAGCGTGGGGCGAGCAGGGAGGGAGAAGAGGGAGAGGACGCGAGGAAGGGTGGTGCAGGGAGTGTGAAGCGGAAGCGAGCAGAGGAGGTTGGTGACGATGATGAGATGGGGATGAGGCAGGAGCGTCAAGGGGAGGGGAAAGGCAGGGGCATGTGGGGAGAGGTGCAGGTGGGTCGCTGGGGGGAGGAGCAGGGGGGGGAGTGGGGAGAGGAGGGAAGTGATGAGATGGAGGAGAGTGGTAAGGAGAGAGGAAAGGAAAGACGAAGGGAGAGAGGGGAGGGGAGGGGGGAGAGTAGAGATGTGGAGGCACGGAGGGAGGAGGCGAGGAGAAGGAAATGGAGGGTGCAACACGACAGAGGATTCTTCAGTGGTGCTAGGCGTGCCACTAAGGGGCAAGAAGGGCTTTTGGCTGAATCGAATCCTTTAGGTGCTGCCCTGATCCGAACCACCAGCCCTATAAGTGCTGCTCTGCTCCGGTCTGAGATTCCTACTGCCGCTTGTATAGGAGCTTCTATAGGCGCTCCCATGGGTGGCTCTATGGGCGCTTCTCCAGGCGCTACTGTGGGAGATTTCGCCAGCCAGCTCCTCTTGTTCGACCCTGAGATGCAAGCCCAGGCACATGGGACAGCACCTGTGCGTGCTCCGCATGCCCCTGGGGGGAGTTTAGGGTGGGGTTCAGGCTTAGTGTCTGGCTTGGGGTCAGGCTTGGGGTCAGGCTTGGGGTCAGGCTTGGGGTCAGGCTTGGGGTCGGGTTTGGGGTCAGGCCCCCTTGTGGAGCCTTCGCAAACAATGATGCCACTGCAGGCTGAATTGGGTGAGAACTTTCAGAGAACATTCGTCTCTTCACCTGCCAGCCTGGCAGGAGATGGGGCCACTGCAGCTACAGCAACGGCTGTAGCTGGTGCATGCTCTCTCAGGGGTTCCCAAGGAGCAGGTGCAGGCAAGGCCGGCACTGCGGGTGCGGGCAAGACAGGCACGGGGCTGAAGTGCCTTGTGGTGGACGACAACGCAGTCAACCGCAGCGTGCTGCAGCGGCTGCTGCGGTCGCTCGGAGCAGAGCAGCTCGTGCTGGCTCGCAACGGTGCGGAGGCGGTAGCGGTGTGTGAGAAGGATGGGGAGGGGCTGGATGTGGTTTTCATGGACCTCCATATGCCTGTGATGGATGGGTTTGAGGCGTCCGCGCGGATTCTTGGGCTTTGGAGGAGTCGGTATGGATCTGATGCAGTGCCGCGGACTAGTAGCATGTCGCAGCAGCAGCAGCAGCAGCAGCAGCAGCAGCAGCAGCAGCAGCAGCAGCAGCAGCAGCAGCAGCAGCAGCAGCAGCAGCAGCAGCAGCAGCAGCAGCAGCAGCAGCAGCAGCAGCAGCAGCAAGTTCAAGCAGTGCAGCCCTTACAGCCCCAGCAGGTGCAGCTGCAGCAGCAAGAATGTTCGTTTCGGTACAGACCGCTGCTTGTTGCAATTACGGCAAGTGCATTGGAGGAGGAAGAGGAGAAGTGTAGGAAGGTGGGCATGGATTTCTTTCTCACTAAACCAGTGAGATTAGCTTCTCTACGAAGTCTTCTCGACCATGTGAAAGCTGGCAAATAACTAGGGTAGTTTCTCTTCTACCTTCTTCCCGATGTATTTCGCCTATATATGCGATCGGGTTGTATCTAGGCCACGTTTAGTGGCATCGATGTCGTTCTAAAACCTGCGTGATTCGTTTTTTTTGGAAGTGGCTGTTGGCCTTTCTTATGGTAATGTTCCTTTCTTATGGTAATGTTCACATGCGGTAAAAAATAACTCCCATTGTGTGAAAGTGTCCTGAAGTGAAAGCTGAAGCATATAATATTCGGCTTGAAAACAGTTCAATGTGAGAAATTAGAGGGTACATTAACAACCAGGTATCTATAAAGCGTGTCACGCACTTACTGGAGAACCTTAATTCGAAGCGGGGTCATCATTGCACTTCGGTGTTTCGCGAAGGCCAATGCTCAAGCGCGCCACGAGTCAGAGAGAGTCGCAGGCCATCGCCCATTGGCGGAAATTAGGTTTTGCGACTGCCCTTGGGATCGTCGGAGCTCCACGTGATAGACCATTCATCCAGCCCTGGCGTCCCACCTGATTGGATCTGGTCAACCCTTTCTTCTCCAATCCCCTCATCAGGTTCCCATTTCTATTCCTGCTTGAAATGCTAGAAGGAAGAAATTATTCGTCTATTCTGTGAAATTGCTATTGCTGGATTCTTCCCCAGCTCGGGTCCTCAGAAGCCCTAACTTGGTCAGTACTGGAGACCGGAGTGTTGATGTCTACCATATGTTTCCAGCGCTTGTCGCATTCGTCATGGGATTCAGATCTGCTACTTCTGATTTTCGGCTATATGGTAGCACTTTTAAAACCCGCGTCTCATATTTCTTGTTTCCAACCAAAGGTAATACGCTTGAAACCGGGTAACCAAACAATCACTCGCAAAACACTCGCGTTTGGTTTGGCGCAGGTGTGATTGGCTGCAAACCAAACAGTTTGGTAGAGGCAGGTGCCTGACTACCAAGCCGGGTTTGCGAGAAACAGGCAACTGCATGTGCGACGGACTGAGAATGGGACGCACAGCCCACAACCGAGCGTATTACAGAGCTGGAAAAATATGAGACTGCAAACCCAGACAGGTTGTAGGTGGAGAAACATACTCGCACCGATTTCTCTAGCGACTAAGTCTCATTTCAGCATCTTATTTTCCCTAGGTTTATTCCAGCGTCAAACGTGACAATACCTTGTACCTCTCGTTGTCGTTGTTTATTTTTATCTTTGGTCACTCCGCGCCTGCATTTGCTTTTACGCACGTATAGTCCGTCCATCGCCAGAGCTGGTCCTCATTATTGCAATAAGATGCACCACTCTATTTGGACCAAGGTGTATTGCAGTAACGCTCCCCCCTGTCGAATTTGGACGGAAGGGACACGACGGAAAGGCAGCAGTTAGGACGAGATAGGAAGCGACGCGACGGAAAGGCAGCAGTTAGGACGAGATTGGAAGCGACGCGACGGAAAGGCAGCAGTTAGGACGAGTTAGGAAGCGACGCGACGGAAAGGCGAGGGTTAGGACGAGATAGGAAGCGACGCGACGGAAAGGCGAGGGTTAGGACTGGATAAGCAGCGACGCGGCTGAAAGGCGAGGGTTAGGACTCGATAAGCAGCGACGCGACATTACAGGAAGCGACGCGACATGGCTGGAAGCGAGGAGAAAGGGATGGGCGTGATGCGAGGGTAAGGGGAGAGTCGCGAAGGGGTGTGGCGGGACGGTTGGGAGGGAAGGGACTGGAAGGGAGGTAAGGGGTGAGAAGGACCTCCGGGATGCGACGAGAAGGGGAGGGGTGGGACGGTGCGTGAAGGGGAGCCGGAAAGGGTAGGAAGGGATACTGTGGGATGCAACGAGGAGTGGAGAGGAGAGAAGTGGAGAGGAGAGGAGAGGACAGGAGGGGACGCTACTGGACACGACGGGACGGGACGGGAACGGGGGGGACCTGATGGGACGTGAGGGGACGCGACGGGAAAGGACGGGACGGGACGGGACGGGACGGGACGGGACGGGAAGGAAACGAGACGAGAGGGGACGGGACGGGACGGGACGGGACATGACGGAACGGGATGGGACGGGACATGACGGGACGGGATGGGACGGGATGGGACGGGATGTATGACGGGACGGAGCGGGAGGGAACGCGACGGAGCGGGACGGGACTGGCGGGAGGAAACGTAGGAGACGCGCCGATCCCCATACCCCTTTCCCTTCCCACATCCCCTTTCCCTAACCCCATCCGCCTTCCCCTCCCCCATCCCCCTTCTCTTTCCCCATCCCCCTTCTCTTTCCCCATCCCCCTTCTCTTTCCCCATCCCCCTTCTCTTTCCCCATCCCCCTTCTCTTTCCCCATCCCCCTTCTCTTTCCCCATCCCCCTTCCCTTCCCGCATCCCCTTTCCCTTTCCCCATCCGCCTACCCTTTCCCCATCCCCTTCTCTTTCCCTATCCCCCTTCCCTTCCCCCATCCCCCTTCCCTTCCCCCATCCCCCTTCTCTTACCACATCCCCTTTCCCTTCCCCACACCCTCCTTTCCCTTCCCCCATCCCCCATTCCCTTTACCCATCCCCCATCCCTTCCCTGCATCCTCCTTTCCCTTCCCCCATCCCCCTTCCCTTCCCCCATCCCCCTTCCCTTCCCTCATCCCCCTTTCCCTCCCCCTCTGCTATCACCTTCTTTTCTCTTTCTGCTACCACCTCCCTTCCCCCTCTGCTGTCACCTCTCATCCCGTGATACCACCTCCCTTCCCCCTCTGCTGTCACCTCTCATCCCGTGCTACCACCTCCCTTCCCCCTCTGCTGTCACCTCTCATCCCGTGCTACCACCTCCCTTCCCCCTCTGCTGTCACCTCTCATCCCGTGCTACCACCTCCCTTCCCCCTCTGCTGTCACCTCTCATCCCGTGATACCACCTCCCTTCCCCCTCTGCTGTCACCTCTCATCCCGTGCTACCACCTCCCTTCCCCCTCTGCTGTCACCTCTCATCCCGTGATACCACCTCCCTTCCCCCTCTGCTGTCACCTCTCATCCCGTGCTACCACCTCCCTTCCCCCTCTGCTGTCACCTCTCATCCCGTGCTACCACCTCCCTTCCCCCTCTGCTGTCACCTCTCATCCCGTGCTACCACCTCCCTTCCCCCTCTGCTGTCACCTCTCATCCCGTGCTACCAGCTCCTCCCATGAAGCCAACACTTCGCCAACCCTTTCACCTTTTTCCCCTGCTTTCACACACTATTCCGCCAAGCAATCACTTCCCCAATTCCTCCCTGCCTCCTTTCTTTCCCCATGCCATGCCTCCCCTCGCTTTCCTCCCATGCCTCAGCTCTGTTTTCCCACTTGTCTCCCCTCTGCTTCCCCCCTTTCTCCCCCCTGTTGATGTGCTTGTTCCAGCATGGCGCCACAAAGAACCAGTTCATCCTTAGTTTTGTGACTAGTGCGTAGATTCAAAACTCAGTTGTTGGCAAAGTAGGCTTGCCAAACCCGCCTAGTCTCTTGTCTTTCATAGCATATTACACTTGATGCTCAATGGTTTCAATGCATCCATTTAGTTTGTAGCAATTGAGCACAGCACTGATCTAAAGAACTTATTGAATGTATACACTTGTGCAATATCTTGAAGATACGGGGTACATCTCTCCTCTAGCGCCAATCTCGCCTTCGTGCATCTGGCCGTGCATCTGCTGCTTGCCTGTCCCTTCCGTTCCGCCAGGCTCGCCTGAGACTAGCTTAGTCCTGCTTGTAACTGGAACAAAGGGAGAGGTGACGGGAGGAAGGAAGGCTCCAGGGATGAGAAAAAGGGCAGTTGAGATGTGAAGGAAGAGAAAGGTGGTAAAAAGGGGGAACGGGGAGAGCAAAAGAGGGTAGGGGTGATGCAAGGAAGGGAGGCTGGCACGCAAGATGGGAAGGAAGGGAGGGCAAATGAGAAGAATGGGAGGGGATGAGAAGGGAAGGGACAGGAGATGGGAAGGCATAGTAGGGGAAATGAAAAAAAAGGAGGGCAGATGGAGAAGGAAAGGGCTCTACACACTCATGGCCCTAAACACAGCACTCAACCTCCCCACCTCCTACTCCCACTCCCCCTCCCCTCTCTCACCATCGCCCACACCCACACCCTCCTCACCTTCCCCTGCTTACACACACCTCAGTTCGGGCAGAAAAGCTAGCAGGGTGAGCGCGTGGCGAGGGCTGGCTGGCAAGCAAGCCTTGCTGCAGACATTAGGAAAGTTGGTAGGGGAGGGGGTGAGGGTGAGTTAACAGGGAGAGGAAGGGGAGAGAGGGAAAGGGAGAGGGTGAAGGGGAGAGAGGAAAGGGAGAGAGGGAAGGGGAGAGAGGGAAGGGGAGAGGGTGAAGGGGAGAGAGGAAGGGGAGAGAGGGAAGGGGAGAGAGGGAAGGGGAGAGGGTGAATGGGAGAGAGGAAAGGGAGAGAGGGAAGGGAGAGAGGGAAGGATGTGTGTTGTGTCTCGAGGCGCAGATGGCAGTTGGGGGAAAGGGAGGTGTGAGCACCGGGATGTGAAGGCTGAGGGACGTGTGGCAAAATGACTTGTGCATTTTTATGCACATGCACTGAATGATAAGAATACAAACAGGTGCACACCCGCACGCACGCACGCACGCGCACGCACGCACGCATGCACGCTTGCTCTCACGCACGTGCACGCAAGCACGCACGCACGCACGCACGCGCGCGCACGCACGCATGGACGCACGCACGCGTACGCGCACGCAAACGTGCACGCACACGCGCACACACGCACGCCGCACGCGCATGCGCAAGCGCACGCACGCACGCACGCGCACGCTCGCGCACGCACGCACGCACGTTCGCACGCACACAAGCTTTCACACACACCCCACACACATGCCACTCGCACACAGACCTTTCACGCAATCGCGCTTGTCGTAGATGGACGACCCGAGCGCATTCTGAAATGCGACATCACCTCTCCGGGTTCCACAGCTGTAAATAGAAGAGTAAGAACGCATTTCGGAATGTTATGGACTGGCTACCTCGTAACAAGCGATGGCGTTGCGACCGTTCCCGACATTGGACGATTCCTTAGTCGCCAATTGATGCGTTATCCGCAACCAGAATTTGTTCGCAAGTCCCCTGTTATCTGGTCCGAAATGGTCTCTAATATCACTGTTTTAGCGACTAAGGCCAGCATCTTGATGTGGAGGTACATACGTAGGAACCATCCTAAGCGGAGGTTGTAAGACTGACAGGTGAGAGTTTTGCTCTGCTTTTCCTGGTGAACGTGGGCGAATTGCGTCTTGTCGTTTCAGTTGGTCGCAGGGAACTGCCGGATCTGTTTTTTAGGTGTGGGAGCTTTCCATGCCTGAGGGGCTCGTTTGGTTTTTGCGTAGACGAACTGAGGTGTCGTCTGTGTTTTCCAAACTGCTCGTCACAAATCTCGCCTATCGTTACCCAATCACAGGCGCTTTAGCCCAACCAAGTGTAATACACTAGGAAATATGAGACCCGGGTTTTAACCTTGTGTAACTTGTGTACGTGCAGTTACCATGGAGGCCTTCGCCACGCCATACCCCATTTTCTTTCATGATGGAGAGAAGGACGTGGACAAGGGGGTTGTTGGAATTCATTCCTGTTTGACTTTCAAGCGGTTCCAGTCCATGGCTGGACAAAAGGCCGGTCTTCCTCCAGCTACTCTATCAACGGTGCTAGTCTGTAGAAAGTCTTCTGGCAACACGGAGAAGAAGCAGAAGCTTCCTATCAACGAGCATACGAACTTCAGCATTATCCTAAACCAGCATAATCCAAGTCGCGAGAGGGATTGCCATTTTCTGGTGTCCTTGAAGAAATCGAAGAAGGAACGAAGAGCAGCGAAGAAGAAGGTTTCAGAACCAGAATATATCGAAGCGGATGGGTCTGTTGCAGCTTCCAGCACGCCGTCTTCACCCAAGAGCGTGGATGATGTCTCTCTATTCAAGGATAAGCCGGACTCTAGCTCGTCTGACGACGAGGCAAGTGACTCTCGTTCTGGGGAGCATCAGAAGCAGTTACCTCCTTTTGACAAGAGTTCCTCAAAGAATGAGTTGAGACACGCAGCTGTGGAACCATCTCAACCACCAGTTTCGGTGTGGAAGACTGGATCTGCGTTGAAGATTTTGAAGGGTCAAAAGGCATCGAAGCCTGCAGCAGTGCAAGAAGAAGCCGTTAATAGTGGAAGCTCTGCTGCTGGCGACATGGGTGCAAGAGGTGTTTCTGTTCAGGGGAAGCCGCATCCATCTGTTACAGCACCTAATTCTCATGCAGGTTCTCCAGGCTTACCTGTCACGATTCTCAACAACCCACTTGACAGAAACATGCGGTCTTCTTCAGATGGTCAACGAACAATTGATGGTCTAGCGGACTCAAGGGCTGGACATCCCGTTGCCAGAGTGGTCCCAACAGCTGACAAGTTCACAGCAAGTACTCTGGCCTCTGCAGCAGCTGCAGCCTCTGCTGTGGTCCAGGCACACTCATTTCAGCCTTCACATGTGATTCCTGCTGGTGGCTTTACACTGTTTGGACCTGATTTAAGCAGTATTGCTTTGGGGAACATGTTCCACAACGCCATGGCAGTGGACTTTAGATTTGGGATGCGAAAGCTCTGCCACTTCTGCTCTTTCTGCCAGGAGAGGCGCATTGTGGCGGTGCCTTTTCACTGGTGCGTGGATGATCAAGTGGTGTCTGGGTTCAAAGGCCCTTCACCAGCAGGGCCCATTGGAAGACGCCACAACAAGCACAGGGTGGGGGTAATGGCATAGCCAGTCCCAGCTGTTGGTTGCTTTGGTACATGCTGTATATTTGGACAATGGACACTGTCAGTGAGAGGATCCTTTTATGGTTTGAGCACTTGGATGCAAGTTTGGTAGGAAACAGAAACCACACCTTACTACATGAAAACGCCTCATGGTGATATAAATAAATATTAGGAAGGATGTATTTGAATTTTAGCACCACTATGAGGTGGTACAATGTGTGGTGTACACCACGAAAATTGTCAACATCTGCCGTTACGCAAAAGGCGGGAACAACTCAAACGGGAAGTCGTCAGAGTGTTGCGAACCCCAACACGAAGTTCGTGGCCAATCCGAACTGCTTGCGCCAAACGTTTTTTCGGCCGGTTTTCGTGAGCCGTCAAGCCCCAGCAGCTCCCACAACCTCCACGCGGTTGGAACCATCACACGAGAAATTCGAGCATGTCGCACATTCGTCAAGAGCCATCTTGCCTTGGAAATGGATGGAAGCAGTCGTTATGGCGGGAGCTGCTGCTGAGCTGACCTTGCGAATGCTACATGCAAGCTGAGGTGGGGTGGGGGCATTTCAATCGTCGATTCAGCTGCAACTCACTCACACGACATTTTCAAGAGGGAGGATACTCTCAGGGCTCCTTTTCAGCTGAGACCTAATAAAGCGCTGCGTGAAGCTTCATTTCAGGAAAAGTCGTCATTTCATCACCAGCGCTGGAAATCCATGGTCGTCCTTCAAAAGTCGCTGCTCTTCCCACTCGTGCTAGCTCCGAACTAACCTTATTTCCTCGCATCCCATTTGCGTAGCCTCCGTTAACGTTTTGTCCGCGAGTCTTTCAGACGAAACGGTAATTACCGCTTCTGCGACTTATGTAACCAAGTTTCCAGTATCACATTATCGACTTTCCGCCTACGTCTCCAGTCTTCTCGAGGTGATCCTAATTGGGGAAGAATACCGAAAGCGTTATATTTTACTAGTGGTATCACAGTGACAGGAATTAGAGACTTTAGGACGCATTTCGAGTCGACGTATTATGGAGGATGACTCGTATATCCCGCTAGGCACTCCGCCAATTCGGAAGCTCCCTACTGGCGCGGCGCGCCATGGCGGGCGATCCGCAGTGGCTCCGCGCAAGCGCCGCCGCATCCTCGACCCCGCGCACGTGGACGTCGCCGCTTCCCCCGGAGCCAGCCCCGAGAGGCGGCCTTTCGACTCCGACACACCGAATCGCAACGCGGCCGACGCGCTGATCAAAAGCGCGCCCGGCGCCTCGGCTAGAAACGCGCCTGGCGCTTCGCGCGGGGAGGGCTTGTTTCACGCGGAACAGACTGGCACGGGTTTGTTGTCCGGCCGCCGTGTGCTGTTTCCGGGCGGGGAGTTTGACGGGGCTGGAAAGGGGAACGGCGGGAGCGAAGTGGGGACGGAGGGGAAGGGTTCCGATGGAGGCGCGGCGAAGAACGCATCGGAGGAAGTTGTTGGCGCAATGGCGGGATTGGCGGTTTACCGGCGACTGGCGTTTGGGGACGAGCGAGTGGAAGGGCGGGAGGGTAGTCGAACGACGTCCAAGGCTGTTGGCGAGGCTGAACGAGGGGGTGAACAAGAGGACAAAGCGGGAGAGGGCAAGAGCGATAAGGTGGTAGAGGAGGAGGAGAGGGAGGTAGAGGTGAGTGAGAGGGAGGTGGAGGAGGTAGAGGAGGAAGAATTGGAGCTAGAGATAGTGTATGAGGAAGAAGTTGAGGGGGGAAAGCAGATAGAGGAGGGTGGCGAGGAGGATGTGAGAGGAGAAAGCAAGGGAGATTGGGAAGAGAAGGATCGAGAGAAGGAGGTTAGAACGAGGAAAGATAGGCTCAAGGTCTCAAGAGGCCCAGAAATTGCTAAAATCGCCGCTGCCGTCATTCCTGCTACCAGTGCTGCTGTTGCCGCTGCCGCTGTAGCCGACTGTGCCGTGACTCGTTTCTCGTCGTCTAATAACGCGGACGGGGATGACCTTTTTCGCTGGAACCGCATCCATAGAGGGAGCACTGGGCCCGGGGGCCGCGGAAGCGGATCCAGTGGGCCCAAGACACGTGGCGAGGTCCTGGCAGCCATGGTGGGCGTTCAGATGCCACGTCAGCAAGGGGTACGAAGCATGGCGCCGGATATGGAGGGGCGAGTAACGGCCGCAGCAGCAGCTGCAGGGGGAGTGAGAAGCGGACGGGCTGGTGTATCCCCGATACAGTCACCTTCAAAAGGAGCAACAATTAAAAGTGCAGTGAGAGAGGATATAGTCCCAGAAGGTGGAGGAGCAGCAGCAGGAGCAGAAGGGGCGAGGAGCGCGAGAGCGGTAGCAGGATTGGCAGCAGCAGCAGCAGCAGCGGCGAAGGCGGAGGCTGACGATCTTCCACCACAGTGAGTTCCTCAATTCTTTCCTCCCTGAACCGCCCTGAAACGTTCTGAACCGTCCAGTACCCTCCCGTATCGTCTGTTACCCCCCTGTACTGCTCTGTGTCACCTTGCACCCCACTGTACCCCCCTGTGTTTGCCTGTATCGCCCTGTTTCGTCTCGAGTCCTTCCTCATACCTTTCCTCCAGTCTCCCGCTCGTTTTGGCCCTTGAAACCCTTCTTCTCCTACCCAGGGATTTACCATCACGTCCCCTCTCCCGCCCCGTTTTCCGCTTCCCCTCCCTGCCCCCGACTTGCCCCCGACTTGCCCCCGACTTGCCCCCTTCATCTCTCCCCTGACATTTCCCACAAACGTCTCTCCCACCTCTTTCTACACCTGAGAAGGTTCCTGGAAATCGCGCAGCTGTTCGACGCGCTGGAGCTGAGCTGCCGCCTGCTGCGCGCGAGGAAGCTTCTGTGCTCCTTCCGGGCGATTAAAGACGCGGTGCAGGACGTGACTAAGAGGCGCTTCACTCAGCGGCACCTGGCGCAGATGCTGTTCGTGGGGGGCGGCGGGGCAGGGGGAGGAGGGGGAGGGGCAGGGGGAGGGGGAGGGGGAGGGGGAGGGGCAGGGGGAGGAAGGGGGGGGACGGGAGGAGTTGGCGGAAAGGTAGAAGAGGGAGGAGGTGGAGAAGGGGTAAAGGAAAAGGAGAAAGGAGGAAAGGAAGGGAAGGACATATCACTAAGTCCTCTTGCACTTAGCGAAACAACACTTAATAAAACAGATGCTCTCGGCAGGGCATCAGCCCGCCAGGCTGTGCTTGGCGTGCCGTTGCTTAGAGTGGAATCGGTTCTTCTGCCCGAAAAAAACTCCTCTCCTGTGAAGTTCTCAGGGGCGGCAGGCAGGGCGGCAAGGTTTGGACGTAGCGTGTGGGATCTGAAGATAATATTGGAGAACGAAGGGGATGGGAAGGGGGATGGTGATAAAAGTGATTGGCCTGCAGCTGCGGATGGTGGTGCTAGTAGCGGTAGTGGTGCAGGGGGGTTTGGAGGGATAGCAGGAGGTGAATTGGCAGCAGGCATGGCAGGAGGGAGGGCGAGGAGCGAAGAGAGTGACATGCTGTGGCGGAAAAGAGAGTTCAGAGCAAGGCTGGGAAGACTGGCACGTGCCATGGGGGCAGTGGGAAGCGAGAAGGATGTGACAGTGGCTGATGTGACTATACCTGAGGAGAGTCTACCAGACCCCCTATCACCCTCCCCTGTGCCAACTATAGAGTCTCATGCGTCTCTCAATGCTCATACTCATTATATTCACACTCGCTCTACTCACCCGATCAGCCGCAGGAGCCTATTTCCTGATTCATCCACTAACCCTACCTCTGCCGAAGCTAGTCTAGGCTCGGCGCCAACAGCTGCACCTTTTGCCAGGCCTGTTTTGCAGGCCCGGCCAATTTCCCCACGCCACCGCCATCGGCCTGCTTCGGCAGATAGGGTTGGGAGGAATCCGAACCCAGACTTGGGCGCTCGTGTGAGGGTGGACCTCACTCCATCGTTGGATCGGTTGGCTCGCCGAACCAACGTGGTTGGCTCGGCAGGAGCAGCCGAGGCTGGGTCAGAGCAGGCTCGGGCAGCACGGCAGCTACTGTTTGGAGGAACGGCGGAGGTTGCTGGGGTTAGTGGTGGGGCTTCAGGTGCTGCTGGTGCTGCTGGTGCTGCTGAAATAGCCAGAAAAGGAGTTGAGGAGGGAGAGAAGGAGGTGTGGGGTGGGGATGTGGTAGGGGAGCTGGAGCCGCTGCAGCAGCAGGGAGTGGGGGTAGGTGGAGTACAAGATGGAGCGGTTGGGAGGGGTGGAGGAGACAGCGATGGGGAGGGTGGGGGAAGCGACTCGGAGATCTTGTCTCGCCTGCCCCAAGGGCTCGTCTCTTCGGTACGTCAACCTTTTTAGTTAACTTCTATTTGCATTACTGCTTCATTCAGTATCGAGTTTCCAGAGCGCCTCATCCTTGTATCCCTGCTGTGCCGTGCTCTGAGTGGATCTGTTTCTTCCTTTGCGTTTTAAGAACTCACTTCCTTCTGCTTCGTTGAACCATCATTCGCTCCTCCCTCTGAACCCAACTTTCAGGTTCGTAAGCGTGAGGAGCAGCAGCGTGCCGAAGCTACCGATGAGGCTCGGCAGGCGCGGCGGCGGCGGCTGCTGCTGGCCGAGCTGCCGCTGCTGACCGACATGGTTGTCGCTCTCTTTGCCAGCTGTCGTGCTGCTGTGCTGCCACATAGGGACCTTGTGGTCCGGCTGGTGGCCAATCACAGCAAGCAGACCAACCAAGGTATGATCGGGTTTGGTACAATTGTGAATATCACTGTGTGTACTATGTCATTGATGGTGGGTCAACCGATTTGTTGCATGTTTGCTTCGCCATTGACGGTGTTGAGTGGATTTACCAATCCCAGATTTACCAATCCCAGATTTACCAATCCCAGATTTACCAATCCCAGATTTACCAATCACAGAGTTTCATGTCCTTTCTTGCCCCATGTTTCAGAGGAGATTGAGGAGCAGATGAAACTTCTAGAGGAGATCGCGCCAGACTGGTTGTGTGCTAAGATGTCCCTTCGAGGAGAAAAAATATATCGGTAAGTGCATTCATTCCTTCATAATGTTTGCCCATGCATAGTTGCTGCGGCAGATGATTATGAATCTACCCGAGCTATGTTTCTCTCCAGACGCGGTGGAAGTGCTTGGATCGGACCACTTACTTTGTTGCTTTTGGGTACCGTGTATGCCATGGCTCGTTTTCCCTTGCCCACAGATTGTCCAAGGTGGTGATGGCTGCACATGTCAAGGCACGGGTGAAGGATGAGCAGAGGCTTGATCCAGAGCAGCACCAGCACGCACCATCACGCCATGTGCATGGTGCTTCTGAGGTTCGAAGGAGCTTGTTTTAGTAGGCTCGAGCAAGGAATGAAGCGTCTCTCAAAAGGAAGGGTTGGACAGGTTGACATGGCCTATTTACTAATAAATCAGGTGCGTAGGATCACAAGGCCTGTTTACTAATAAATCAGGTGCATAGGTTCACAATGCCTGTTGACAAATACGTGCATAAATCCAACTGATCTGAAGGAATATGGGGGTGGGAGAATGTACATGAGTAGTGAGAAGTAGTAGAGTTTGCTGCTGTTTTAGGTACCGGTACATGTGTCTAGATTTTGTTGCTAAATTTACTGTGCTATACAAACGAATTCGGAGGTTCAGGGTTTGTGTAGTGCGCCATCAGGCTGGATTGTCCGAGGTGGCACGCTGTGAAAGCTTGTGCTGACAGCATATCGTTTTCCCCACGCCTGGCATTCCACAAATGGGGAACACACACACATTGATCCCACCTTCCATATGATACCAGCTGAGTATATTTCCCCATTCCGTGGTCTAAAACGTTTCGGGGCAATGCTGCGAGTTTTAGTACGGTGGGATACGGTTTGTTGTCGGATCTTGGTGGCTGGCCTTGTCCTCGTGCTTCAGAATTCAGCATCTGCTTCAGATTCAAAAGCCTCGCTGAAATCCGTTTCTGAGAAATCCATTTCCGAGCTTAGCCATTCTGAAGCTGCTGCTTCTTCCGCCGATCTTCATACCTGCCGGACCCCTCAGCTTCAGCAGCAAACAAAAACAGACCCAATGACGGTCAGTAATGGTACATCCAGATTCTTCAGCGTCAAGTTATAGTTTGTCTTGCGTATCTCAGCTGTCGAAAATCTCGTTTTTCGGGATTGCACTTCCTTCATCTGCAACTTCTTGTGAAAGTTAATGGCGGTATCTAATGCTGATCCTTTTCCCGTGGTTTCAGGAACGATCCTACGTCATGATAAAGCCCGACGGCGTTCAACGCGGCCTTGTAAGTGCTGTATGAATTGGCTCAATATGAAGCTTGAGGGACAGATTCAATTTGTATTTTTCTGCCTCTCCGAGGCTGTCGTCTTGATCCCTCACCTTGGACTCCCCAACCTCCTTCAATTTCCGGCCTTCCCTAGAGGATCCTCTGCTCATTCCAGCACCCGTGCGATTTCGTGTCGTATCATGCTCGCAGGTCGGGGAGATCATCGGTCGGTTCGAGCGTAAGGGTTTCGTTCTGCGAGGCCTGAAGCTGTTCCAGTGCCCCAAGGAGCTGGCGGAGGAGCACTACAAGGACCTTGCCGACAAGCCCTTCTACAAGGGCCTCGTCGACTACATCATCTCCGGCCCCGTTGTCGCCATGGTATGTTTAACACTACACTCCAGCTGTGCTACAGTGTCATGCGGTTTTGGGGAACTGGGAGATTGATACCTGAACAAGGTTTGTTTTAAGTCTTCGTGGATGGCCAGGTTTCGGGTGTGGTTTGTGCACCTCAATATATGGTTTGCAGAAGCAGTTCAGACTCACATGTTTAAAATAGACATATTGCACCACACCTACGGGAGGCAGCAACTTCCGCATGAGCACAGAAAGAAATTGCACCAATAACTTATTTGAACATCACTCTGTCGTCTTGCAGGCCTGGGAGGGCAAGGGTGTGGTGGCTTCGGCTCGCAAGCTGATTGGCGCCACCAACCCCCTCGCTTCCGAGCCCGGCACCATCCGTGGTGACCTCGCTGTCGAGGTTGGCAGGTATGGATTTTAGTCCTCGTCGTCTTATCATCATTTGCTGCATGCGATCGGATCTGCCAGCGTTGTTTTGGTCTATTACATTATATCAGCACCTTGGATTAAGTGTTTTTATACGTCGCTTGTATTCACTCGTTTTCTGCTCTTGCCTCACAGGAACGTCGTGCACGGGAGTGACAGCGTGGAGAATGGCGAGCGTGAGATTGGTAAGTACATGTTTCCTGCAAATGCTTCTGAACAATCTCGACATGACCTGCAGATGTTCCCATCTCGCAGTGAATGTATTCTTGCTCTTGTTGAACCGAACTTTCAGTCCTTCTGCCTTAACCTCGGTCCTTGGATCAATGAACTCTTTCCCATGCGCTCTCTCTCGTTGACAGGCTTGTGGTTCAAGGAGGCAGAGCTGATCAAGTGGGACCCTACACTCCTCCCTTGGCTGCGCGAATAGAGCGTGAAACAAGCTTTAAATACAGCTGGATTGCATCGAGCTTCACCAGTTTGCAGAGACTGTTGTCTTTGGTTTACTAATACAAAGCCATGAGACAAAAGTGTCAAATGTTGTAGCCTGTAGTGAGGTCTGTCTTAGGGGTTACAGATGTTAGGGTTTGTTATATGTACCCCAACCCACATCAATGAACCAAGACTTTCGTTCTTAACATGGTATCACCTAGGTTAGGATCCTGTGGGATCCCGCACCTCTCGTCCTCGTTCGTTCCGCCCGAGCCTGTCTCGCTCTCTCGTACTAGTCGTACCCGTCTTGCCCGAGCCTAGTGCCGGCCCGATCCAGTCTCACTCGTTCGTTAGCACTCGCTCCGCCGACCCGCTTTCTGCGTAGCGTAGCGCCTTCTCCCCTCCTGCCCGTCGCGTCGTGCTCTCCCCGGCCTCTCGTCCCGTCACGCCCTCCCCCGCTCGCGTTGCGTCCTCCCCCCGCTGCCCTAAACGCCCGTGTTTCGTCGCCGCGGCGCCCGCGTTTCGTCGCCGCGGCGCCCCCCGTTTCGTCACCGCGGCGCCCGCATTTCGTTGCCGCGGGGCCCCGCGTTTCGTCGCCGCGGCGCCCCGTTTTTCGTCGTTGCGGCGCCCTAGTTTCGTCGCCGCGCCTGCCCGTACCGCCCGTCGCCGCGCCTACTAGTTAGACCCGCCGCGGGCCCTCCCTTACAGCAGTCGTGGGCCCTCCCTTACAGCCGCCGCGCCGGCTAGTTAGGCCCGCCGCGGGCCCTCCCTTTCAGCCGCCGCGGGCCCTCCCTTACAGCCGCCGCGCCTATTGTTAAGGCCCGCCACGGGCCCTCCCTTACAGCCGCCGTAGGCCCTCCCTTACAGCCGCCGCGCCTGCCCCTTCAGCCAGCCGCCGCGCCTCCTCGTTAGGTCCGCTACGGGCCAGCACGTTAGGCCCTTCCTTCGCACCGCTGCGCCTACACGTTCAGTCTGCCGCGGGACCGCCCCTAGCCCCGTTGCGCCCGCGTTTTGCTCCCGTCACGGACTTGTCCTAGCCGCCTACCGTCCCTACCGGTGCCACCCACCGCTCGACTTGTCGCCTCTACTTATACTATGGCGACTCCTAGGGTTCTTCGCTTCGACGCCGACGGTAGACCGCTCGAGTTCCCGGTCTGGCTCCTACGCGCGCGTCGCCTCTTAGAGAGTCAGGTTCAGGCGGGCGAGTCCCTTTGGGCGCACGCTACTGGTGACCTTCCAGCGCCCGACGACCCTACGCCTTTAGGCACTGCCCCTGACGACGCAGCCAGGGACCGCTTCACCCGCCAACGTGCTGACCTGACGGCGTGGAAGTCGCGTGACGCTGCGGCCTGCATCGCTCTTAGCCACCTCCTCCCTGAGTCTGAGGAGGCCCACTTCACTCAGGTTCGCACTGCTAGTGAGTTCCTGACTGCGATTAAGGCCCGCTACGCTACTCCCACCACTGTCTCTCTTGGCCGACTCTTCCTACCGTTCCTGTTCCCTGACCTCGCCTCGTTTGAGCGCTCTGCTGACTTGATTGCTCACCTCCGCTCGCTTGATTCTAGCTACCGCGCTGCTTGCACTGAGGCACAGCTTGCACTGCTCCCTCCCCCCATGGCGATTACTATCTACTTCATCGCCACTAGCCTCCTTGACCGCCTTGCCTCAGTCCGTGACGCGCTTCTTCTGAAGCACCCTAGTGAGCTCACTATCGAGGTCCTTGAGTCTGCGCTCAATGTTGTCGAGAGCAACCTCCGCTCCGTAGCCTCCGCCTCTGGTGCTGTGCCCCCTCCACTGTTCCATGGGTGCACTGTCCCTCAGCTGCCCACATTTACAGCCTCTCTCGCCACTGCTGCTACTAACGTGACCGCAGCTGCTGTTACGACTTCTTCGCGGTCTCGAGGTAGAGGTGGCAAGAGGGGCGGTCAGGGTACAGGTGGCGGCGGCGGTGGAGGCGTTGGCGGCGGAGGTGGTGGGGGTGGCGTGCCGACTGGTGGCGGCGGGAGTGCAGGACCAGGAGAGGCGTCGCGTGCACCGGCCGGTGACTCCGCTCCTGCAGCCAGTGGAGGCGACGCTCGGGCTCGTCAGCCACCTTTTGGTCTGCCGGCCGCGGCGGGTGGGGCAGCGGCGTGGTACCTGGCCCAGCGGCAGCAGCAGCAGCAGCAGCCCCTCCCCTTGCAGCAGCCCCAGCAGGTGCAGCGGCAGCAGCAGGTTTCGGGGCCAGGACAGCGTCAGCCTCAGCGAGGTGTTGTTCACCCTTCGTGCACCTATCAGGTTCTGACAGGTGCTCGCCGAGGCCAGCCTTGTGGCCGCACCCACCCTCCTGGTCAGTGCTTTGCTCAGCTCACTGACACGGTTCGCTTGGCCTTCGGCGTTGGCGGCCCTGCTCCTGACTGGTTACCCCTTGTTCAGATGTACGGCTCCGCTCTTTGGGGCATGTTTGCTTCTCAGTTGCTTGATCTCTTAGGAACTCCTCATGCTATGTATGCTGTTGTTGACTCTAGTGCTTCTGACTCTGTTTACTCGAGTGTTGTTCGCTTAGGTGCTAGTCTTGCTGAGTTGCCTGTTGCTAGTGTAGGCACTTGTGTAGACACTAGTCCAGGCGCTACTTCGGAGGATGCTTCGCTGTCTTTCACTCTGGACTCTGGGGCTTCGCACTGCTTCTTCCGCGACCACACGACACTTACTCCACTTCCTGCGCCAGTCTCTGTGGCCCTGGCTGATCCCACCTCGGGACCAGTCACTGTTCGCTACACTACTACTCTTCCTTGCCCTGCTGTTCCCTCTGGGTCTCTGACTGGCTTCCACGTCCCCTCGTTCTTGAGGAACTTGGTGGGCGTGAGGCCTCTTGTGAGTCAGCACGTAGGTGTGTGGATTGAGCCCTCTGGTGAGACGGCGGTTTGTGTTGACGGTGACACTTACTCGCCTCTTGCCACCTTTACTGCCGAGCCGGGCTCTGGTCTCTACACACTTTACACTGGCTCTGGTGGGCAGCAGCAGCAGCAGCAGCAGCAGCAGCAGCAGCAGCAGCAGCGGCAGCAGCAGCAGCAGCAGCGACTCCTGCCCCCGGCCCTGGTTACTTCCCCTAGTCTGGTCCCTACGTCTCACCAGGTTGCTGCGTCCTCCTAGGTAGCTGTGTCTGGTCAGGTTCCCGTGTCTGGTCCAGTTGCTGCGTCGTGCTCCTGCCGGTCGCTTGCACACTTCACCGTTCTGTGGCACCACCGGACGGGGCACCCGTCCCTCCCTCGTCTGCGCGCTATGTCTCGTCAACGTCTTGTCTTAGGCCTCCCGCGTGTCTTGCCGTCGCTGCCCCCTTCACTTGCACCGCCGTGCGGTCCCTGCGTCGAGGGTCGGCTGCGCGCCACCCCTCACTCCTCCTCCCTTCGTCCGGCCACCGAGCCTTTTGAGACGCTTCACTTGGACGTCTGGGGCCCCGCCCCTCGCCTTGGCCCTGAGCGCGAGCGTTTCTTTTTGGTGGTCGTTGACGACTACTCCCGCTACACCACAGTGTTCCCCCTGGCGAAGAAGTCCGACGTGACTTCTACGCTGATCAGGTGGTTGCTTACCACTGAGGGCACTCGTGGTCGTCGTGTCAGCTGTCTTCATTCTGACCGTGGGGGTGAGTTTCGCTCCAGCATTCTCGCTGGATTCGGTCGCGAGCAGGGCATTCGTCAGTCCCGGACGCTTCCAGAGTCCCCACAGCAGAATTGGGTTGCTGAGCGCCGCATAGGCTTGGTCATGGAGATCGCCCGCACCTCCTTGACTCACACCCATGCCCCCCATTTTCTGTGGCCCTATGCGGTTAGGTACGCCGCTCACCAGCTGAACCTCTGGCCACGCGTCTCTCGGCCAGAGGCTTCACCGACCAGTCTTTGGACCGGGTCCCCTGGTGTTGCGTCGAGGTTTCGTGTCAGGGGTTGCTTGGCTCTTGTCCGCGACTTCCGCGGACAAGCTCTCGCCTCGCGCCGTTCCGTGTGTCTTCCTTGATTTCCCTGAGGACTCCTCTGGCTTCACCTTTTACCACCCTCCCTCTCACCGGTTCTTTGACTCCCGTGACGTCCGTTTCGAGGAGTCCACCCCCTTTTACGTCAGGTACCCCAGTCAAGGTCTCCCGGTTCCTCCTCCCCCTCTCTTCCTGACTTCCGCTCCCCCTCCTGCTCCCCCGGTGCAGTCTCCCCCCCCTGGTCCCGCCTCGTCAGGTGTGTCCCAGGCTACCCCTCCCCCCTCGGTAGCCCCTCAGGTGCAGCCTCCTTCCCCGCAGTCCTCCTCGCAGCCCGCGGCAGTCCCTGCGGGAGCCGGTCCTCGTGGAGAGGGCCCTATAGGTGCTAGCTCTAGGGGTGCTGGAGTTGGAGCTGAGCCTGTGGTTGCAGGAGACTCTTGTCTTCCGGGAGCTGGTGTTGGTCTTGCTGACTTTGGGGGTGCTACGTCTGGGGGTGCGGGTGCACCCTCTTCGGGTCCTGGTGAGCCTAGTCGTGTTGCTGTTGGTAGTGCTGACTCTGGGGGTGGTGCGCCAGGTGCTTTGGAGGGCAGTCCCGGGGCTGCCGCAGCCCCCGACACTACTCCTCCCCCCCACCCCTACCCGACCCGGCACCAGGCTCGTGTTCGCCGTGCCCGTGAGGAGCAGCTGGAGTTGGAGAGAGAGGAGAGGGAGTTGCAGCGGCTTGAGGAGCAGCAGCAGTAGCAGGAGCAGCTGCAGCAGCCGCAGCTGGAGCCGCCGCAACAGTAGGAGGCGCAGCCGCTGGAGCCGGTGCAGCAGCAGGAGGAGCAGCACCCGCCGCAGCAGCAGCAGCAGCAGCAGCAGCCGCCGCCTCCTCCTCCTGTCTCTGGTCTTCGGGCCCTCGGTCTCCCCTCTCGCTCTCCTTCCTCCTCCCCCTCTCCTCCCATCTCGGGTCCTCCGCTTCCTCCTCCTGACCCCTCCCCGGCTGTTTTCCCTCGTTCTCAGCCTCCGTTGTCCCCTCCTCCTTCTCAGACTTGGGCCTCTCGTCGCTCCCCTCGTGC